GGGGAGGGGAGGGGAAAGGGAGGGGAAAGGGAAGCGAAGGGGAAAGGGGGACCGGAGGGGAACATATGTGAGACGTATGTTCCCCCATCCTTTCTTTTCTCCACAACCTGATATCTACAATCTTTTTTTTTTCTGATATCTACAATCTATCTCTACTATGCTTGCCTTACCATGATGAACAGTAAATGCCTGAGTCTAGGACTGACAATACACAGGTGACGGAAAGCAAACCGGGAAGAGAGAGTGAGTGATAGACAGAGGGAGAAATAGAGAGAGAGAGAGATGCGGAGCTTTGTTTTACATGCATGTTTTTTTTTATACGCGCGGAAGACATCAAGTCTGTCTTGAACCCAAGCGCTGAGCCTGGTTATGTGAACAGAGGTTACATTCGTCTCTTCATCAGCGTTTTTATTCCGCTGATGAAGAGACGAGTTTACCCCCCGGTCGGCGTAGCCATTTGCGTATGACGGAAAAAGCCTGATCGATTGAAAGGGGGAAAAATATAGATCAAGGGAAAGAGAGAGGAAACACAACACACAAGTAAAGAAAAAGAAGAAAAAGAAGAAAAAGAAGTGAAAGGAGGTAGAAAGGAGGGAGGACAGGTCAAAATTAACAATGAGAGAACAGACGATACAGGAATGTGAATGGACCGTGCGTACTGACAACGATGACAATGATGATGATGATGATGATGATGATGAAACAGAATAATATTCCTCGATCTATAAGGTGTTCTGTTACAACATGTGCAGCCCAAAAAAAAAAAGGAAGAAGTAGAGGAAGAAGTAGAGGAAGAAGAAGGAGGTCCTGTCATTCAAAATACATTTAAAAAAATGTTTACAAATTGCAGTGAAGTTTGAAAAAGAAAAAAGAAAGTTCTGCCTGCCAGCTCATCGGCGCCATCATGAGTTGCACAGAACCATCGCCAGATAAAATCGAGACCGACGGAAACCAACCACTCAGCCGAACGATCTAACAGCAAACCAACTAATCATCAATAATCACTTCATCGCTCGACAAACCAATCAATCAATCAATCAATCAATCAATCAATCAATCAATCCACAGATCGATCAAGCAATCAATTAATCGACAAATCAAGAATCGCCCCATCAATAGGCCAATCAATCGATCAATCCATGGATCCATCAATTGGTCATCAAGCGAATACAAAATTGGAAAACCCCTCTGCTGCTGATTCTAATCATCGTCATCATCATCATCATCATCATCAGATGTACCTTATGCTGCTTCTAATGATGATGACGATGATGATGACGATGGTGATGATGATGACGATGACTAGAAGCATCTGCTTCTAATCTAATGATGATGATGATGATGATGATGATGACGATGACGATGACTAGAACCAACAGCAGGTAGGCATAACTGCTTCTGCTTCTAATCTGATGATGATGATGAGATGATGATGAGATGATGATGAGATGATGATGAGATGTTGATGATGATGATGATGATGATGATGATGATGACGACGATGACTAGAACCAACCGCAAGTAGGCATACCTGCTTCTGCTTCTAATCTGAAGACGATGATGATGATGATGATGATGATGATGATGATGATGATGATGACGATGACGATGATGATGACGATGACTAGGAGGAGCAGCAGGTAGGCACGGAAGGCAACCATCATCGCATCATCATCACCACAACCGTATCATCATCATCATCATCATCATCACCATCACCATCACATCCTCATCCAATATTTTGCATCATCGGATAATGATAAAGATTTCTCAGATGTCATGATACCCAGGCAGTAATCCTCTCTCACAGACATCGACGATTTATCACATCATCAACATTGCAATCTCGATGAAGAAGAGATGATAACGGCCTACAGTTACAAGGAGGTGATATATTTCTCATCATCATCATCATCATCATCATCACCTTCGCCATCACCGTCCCCATCACATCATCATCACATCGGCATCATCAACGTCATCATTATCATCAAGCCCCGAACGTATTTCGGTTGTCGTCATCACCGTATCACACAGCATTGGATTGCATGCCACCAATCATCGGAACAACAACACAAAATAACAACGTATTTCG